TGCTTGGGAAACAGGTATTCCTTGTCCATTCTATCCTGTGCTGTAACTTCTCTTATATCCTATGGTTCTCCGCTAATTGGTTACCGGAGTTCAATCACTTTAGTCCTAGGATATTCCTGCAGGAATTCCACTGGGTGCTGTCCTAAGACCAACCATCTTCATCTGTTTTGTCAATGACATTCCTTCAACCATAAGTTGAGATGCTTGTTGATGATTGCACAATGTTAAGCACCATTTGTGACTTATCAAGATACTGAATAAACCTATGTCTACATACAGCACACCATTCAAACTTGGGTCAATAACTACCAAATTACACTTATGCTACAAAATTGACAGGAAATGACCATCTCCAACAAGAGAGAATCTAACTATCTCCCTATAATATTGAGTGGCTGAAACTGCCATCATCAACATCCTGTCAATGAACTGGACTAACATACAAATACTCTGGCTACAAAGCATGTCAGAGGCGAGGAATTATGTGGTGAATAACTAATATCTTGTTTCTCAAGGCTGGTCCACTACCTGCAAGCTACAAGTTAGGAGTGTGATGGAATATTCCCCATTTGCCTGGGAATGAGTTCAACTCCAACAACACTTAAGAAGCTTGATACTATTCAGTTTAAACAGCCTGCTTGAATAACACTACACGTACAAACATTCAGTTACTCCATTACCAATGCTCACAGCAGCATTATATACTATTTAAAGATGGACTGTGGAAATTCACCGAAGATCCTTAGACAGCCCCTTCCAAACCCAGAACCATTATCATCTAAAAGGACAAGGCAGCAGAAACATGGGAACACCATTGCTGCAAGTTCCCCTCCTAGCCACTCCCATCCTGACTTGGAAATACATCGCTGTTCCTTCACTGTCACTGGGTCAAAATCCTGGAATTCCTTCCCTAATGGCATTGTGGGTTAACATAGAGCAGGAGGACTGCAGTGGTTCAAGAAGGCACCTCACCACCACCTTCTCAAGGGGCAACTGGGGACAGGTAATAAACGCTGGCCCAGCCAGTGACACCCACGTCCCACTGGTGAGTTAAAAAAACTAGTTCCCATGAATGTGGAAGTAGAGCTATGTGAAGGGTTCTGGGTTTATCAAATTCAATTTTATAATCTAGATTGCTAGTTCATTACCAGAACCTTTAGGCTACTGTACAGTATGTTCAAGCTTAAAACCTCAAAGTGTTTATGCCATCACAGATATTAAGTAAAGCTGGTTGAATGAGTGATATTAGGGGACATGCCAGGAGCAGCAGGACAATTCCAAACTGGCCAATTACCACCTCAGTCTACTTTCAATAGTCAAAGTGCTGGAAGATATCATCAATTATACTATTAGTGGCAGTGATCAAGCTGCCACTTGGTTTGGGTTCTGTTGGGGTCACACTGCACCTGAACTCATTACAGCCTTGGTTCAAATATGAATAAAAGAGCTGACTCCAGGGCTGAGGTGACAAGGACATCAAGGCAACATTTGACTGAGACTGACACCAAGGAGCCTGAGCAAAACTGGAGCCAATGGGAAAAAGACGTCTGCTATTTGGATTCACATCTAGCATAAAGGAAGACAGCTGGGGATGTTGGAAGTCAGTCGCCTCAGTTCCACAATATTCCTGCAAGATCTGCAGTGTAATGTGCTAGGTGCAAACATCTTCAGCTGTTTCATCAATGACTTTCCTTCTATTATAAAATCCAAAGTATTCGCTGATGGTTGTGCAATATTCAGTACCTTTCATGACTCCTCAAATGTTGAAACAACCTGTGTCCAGGTGCAATAAAACTTGGACAACATCGAGGTTTGGCTGATAAATGGCAACTGACATTTGTGCTACAAGTGTCTGGCACCAACTACTTCAAACTAATCATTTCCCCATGACATTAAATGGCATTGCCATCACTGAATCTTCTGCTATCAACATCCTTGGGTTACCATTAAGCAGAAACTGAACTGGATTAGCCAAATCAATAGTGAGCTACAAAGGTAAGTCAGAGGTTAGGAATTTTGCAGTAAGTAAGCCACCTCTGAATCCCTAGACAGCAGTATGAAGGAATATTCAAAAATTGCCTGCCTGAATGAAGCTCCAACAGCACTCAAGAAGCTTAACAGCATCCGGGAGAAAGCAGCCAGCTTGATTGACACTATTTACCATGTTCAATATCCACTCCCTGCATCACCAATGCACAGTGGCAGCAGTGTGCATAATCCACAAGATGCAGTGCAGTAATAATGTATTCTATGTATGACCTTGTGTGGCATCAAGGAACCTTAGAGTTTGGGAACTGGGGGTTTTCCGGATGGAATTAAATCTAGCACAAAGGAACGTGATTGTACTGTAGGAGGTCAATTATCTCAGCTCCAGGACATCCCTGCAGGAGTTCCTCAGGGTAGTGTCCTAGGCCCAACCATCTTCAGCTGCTTCATCAATGACCTTGCCTCCATCATAAGATAAAAAGTGGGGATGTTTACTGATGATTGCACAATGCTCAGCAACATTTGTGACTCCTCAGGCACTGGAGCAGTGCATGCCAAATGCAATTACATTGAGACAATATCCAGGTTTGGGCTGACAAGTGGAAAGTAACACTGACACTACACAAGTGCCAGGTAATGACCATCTCCAATAAGTGAGAATCTAACCACTGATCCTTGATATTCAATGGTGTCATCATTGCTAAATCCCTGACTATCAACCTCCTGGTGGTCACCATTGACCAGAAACTGAACTGAACTCATCATAGAAATACTGTGACTACAACAGCAAGTCACAGGCTAGGAATACTGCAGCGCGTAATTCATCTCCAAAGCCTGTCCACCATCTACAAGATACAAGTCAGGAGTGTGATGGAACACAGCCCACTTGCCTGGCAGATGGTATGTGAATTCAATTTTTAAAAATCTGGAATTAAAAGCCAATCTAATGTAAACACTGTTCATCAAAGTCCTTTAGGGAAAGCCATCCTTTCCACATTTGGCAGGTGACTCCAGACCTACAGCAATATGATTGACTCAACTCCCAGTCACTCAGTTCAAGGGGCAATTAGGGATGCAATTGGATGTACCGCTGCTCCAGCCAGTAACACCCACATCCCATTAACGAATTTAGAAAGAAAGCCTGTTATACATTACCCAATGTGCTATGTTCTGTGTTAAGGTTCCTTGACCAACAGCCAATATTGGATTATTGGAAATATCTTCCAATTAAATATTGAAAAGACAGAAACATTATCTTTTGGTCCCCACATACACTCCTCATCCTCCTCCTCCATCTCACTTAGCAACTACCCAAGGCTAAAGCAGATTCATCGCAACTTTGGTGTCATATGTGTGACGATACAATGGCTTTAAGAGGCGTCTTTTATCCTTTTTATTGTGAATCGAGGTTGATACAGAGGGTGAGCAGTCTGCTCAAAAGCCAATAAAGTAAACAGATTGCGAGGCCATGGGGTTTTTTTTGAAGCTCAAACAATAGAAGCAACCTGAATGGGTGGGGTCAAGCTCCCATAGAACCAGGATTTTTAGTTTAGCTTTCAGTAGTAGTTGCTGGGGTCATGAAGCTGCATGTGCAAGTTGTTTTTCTCTCTGTTACAGCTAAAAGCTGGGGTTCTCTTCCTGCTGCTAGAATTGCATGTGAGACAAAAACAAAGTTGCTGGAAAAGCTCAGCAGGTCTGGCAGCATCTGCGAAGGAAAAACAGAGTTAACGTTTCGGGTCCGGTGACCCTTCCTCATGTGAGACAACTTGTTTTACAGAATTTGCTTTTGCCAAGGGTGTATTTCTGGGATGTTACTATTTTGGAACAGTTGCTGTTTACTAATTAAATAATCTATCATTCTGTTAAGTTTTCCAATACAGTTACGTTATTCCAATCCTTTCGTTTGTCCGTATTTTAACCATAGTGTATGCATAAAGCCTGGTAGTTTGACCAATTGCATTGCATCTGGAACGCAAGGCCTGGCACTTGCCTTTAAAATAAGAAGAAGTTAGAGGTTAGGCTGTCTCCTTGATGTTTTGAGGGGGTTTGGTCTGGTCCATAATATATCTGACTCTGAAATGACCACTGATCCAGCTATACTAAAACCACCTACTTCCATGTCCATAATTCACCTGACTCCATCTCGCTTTAATTCACCTCTTGCTGAAACTCTCATTCGTGCTTTTATTACCTCTGGACTTGATTATTCCAAACTTCTCCTGGCCAGCATCACACGTAAATGCCCACCTCTAAACTGTCCTTGTGGGCCTACTTGGCTCTGAATTAAGCTTCAAAGCTCTCAAAATTCTCATCCTTGTTTACAAATCCCACCAAGGTCTTGTCATCCCTCTGAGATATCTGCAATCCTTCACCACTATTTGTCCTATATCGAAATGCAAAGCCCCTCAGCTCTAGAACTCCCTCCCTATTCCTTTTCACCTCTTTTCCTGCCTTTATAATGCACCTTAGAACCTACCTCTTTGTCTGAGCTTTTGCTCATCTGCCCTCCCATGTTGGTGCCAAAATCTGTTTTAAATGCTGCCATGAAGCACCTTGGGATGGTTCATTATGTTAGAAGTGCTGTACAAAGAATTACAATTGTGTTATATTTAGGGAAATCCCCCATGATTGAGGAAAATGACAATTGCTTTAGTTTTATTTTTTGTTGTTTCTTATACATCCTGTTTTGTCTTGCAATGAAGGCACTCAATTTGTACATCTGAGTTCCCCTTAGACCTAGGATTCTGCAGAAATGAGTTAATTCAACACAAAAAGGGATCGGGACATTTTCAGGCTGTACAACCGAGTGCTATGCTAAGAATTAGCTTTACCTGTGAAGTGGTTAGCCAGACAGAACTACAAACAAAAGGACAAACCAACTTACAGCATGTTGTGGGAATAGCTGGCCACATCAGTTCTTGTTGTCTTGACCTTCGACCCTGGCAGTCCACATAAATGCCCACAGTACTGAAACACAGTAAGTACTCCTTGCCCGAGATTTCCACTGCACAGATTGCATCGTTGGGCTGCTGCGTGATGAAGGAGAGAGTGTGGTCGTCAGGGTGGAGTAGGCTGACTGGACTCCCATCTCCCTGCAGCGGGTATTTGGCAAAACTGGACTGATAGCCGACAAGCAAGCGCTCGTTGAAAATGGCCATCCACTGCACGTTGCCCGGGACTTGGATTTCTTTGAACTTTTTGTGACGGGTTTTGCTCTGGTTGAGTTCATAGCACAGTACTTGTCGCTTCATGGCCACGCACAGGCATGTGGCTGTACCATGGCGCATTGTTCCTGATACCAGCGTCTGGCAGCCTTTCGTCTCCACCAGTTTGAAGAAATCACCTTCCCGACCATCAAGAGCAGAAGTGGGGAAGAGGCGGACATGCCGGTTTCTTCCGGAAATGACAGCGATGAGCTGCTCTCCTGAGATGAGCTCAATTTGATGGACCTTCTTATTATCACCAACACGGATGATTTCTACCAAAGTGAAGATGAAAAGTCATCATTCTGCATACATACATTTCTGTAGCAACTTTCATATCTTCAAAATGTTAAAATGCAATGAGGCATAGGCACGTACAATGTCGGAGCAATTTGTGCACAACAACCACCCATGGAGCACATACGGTGATACTGATTGAGGGGTCAATATTGGCCAAGACAATGAGAAGATCTTTGCTGTTCTTCCGTGAACAGTGCCATGGGATTTTAACATCCACCTAAGATAGCACCCTTCTCATGGAGTGAGAGTGATCTCATGACTCCTGACCAGTGAGAATGTTTCCATTGAGTCACTGAGGACACAGTAAAGGTCCTCAAGATATGTGGGAGCTGTGATAGGTGCTTAGATAAAGGCATATCATTTCCTTCACAAGTATTTCATCTGCAATTTTCTTTCAGAACTAGCAGTGGGCTGAAACCACCTCCCAACTCATACAAAATGAAAGTGAACCCCCCTTTCCCAGCCAGCATAAAGAGTAAATCTTGACCAAGCATTCAAAGCTCAATAGCTTTTTCTTCCTATAGGCCTGGGAAGAAATGGAATCACATCATAATCATCACTGTCCTCACTACATTGAGGGAGGGAAGTGAGAGTGAGGAAAAGGGGAAAGCTGGAGTGAGGGGGGAAAGGCTGGAGTGAGGAGGACAGCGAACCACATTCTGAGCATATCTAGTTTCGTGGATTTCATAGGGACCATATAGGAAGCTGGTAGCTTTCAGGCATAGAGCAGGTATTTTGATAATTTGTGGAGGTTAGGATCGCCATATTTTTGTACAGACTTCCCATTTCTATTTAACAACATGCAATCCATTCTGACGGTGACATGTACATCAGTCTCCACTGTTAGAGACAGGACATCCTGAATTACATTTTCACACCTGCTCCAGTGGCAAAGTATCTATATACAGAAGCTCTACAAGAAAATTTACAATGGGCAGTAAATGCTGGCTTAGGCAGTAGTGACCACATCCCATGAACAAATTACGTAAAAAAAATGTCAAATTTACACTAGAGGAGGTCAAGCACTTAAAGGAACAAAGTACGTAACAAACTTGCTGCTTATGTTGGTAATAAACTGAAATATTACTGCATGTGGAATTGTACAGGACCTAAACCAGTCACAGTGGGTTAGAAAGAAATCTGCTTACCATCTTTGGTGACGTGCACTACAAACAATCCTTCTTCATTTCCCAGTGCTATCCTTTCATGATCTGTAATGCAGTAACAGTGAGGGGAAGAGGTGTTAATATTTGCTAGCTGTGTCATAGTTTTCTCCTCTTGACTTGTATTTCACAGCTAACAAAGGTGCCAGACATCAACCAGATGGTGTCAGAAGAAAGCAATCTCAAGTCAGCACAACAGCAGTCATGTTATACAAAAAAAAGAGAACATTGGATGCTGGAAATCAGAAACTAAAACAGAAATTGCTGGAAAAACACAGTAGGTGTGGCAAATTCTGAGGTCAGAAAGCCGAGTTAATGTTTCGGGTTTAGTGCCTGAACAGTTCATTGCACCACCAACCTCTGTTATTAATTCAATACCAGTATGGAGTTTCATTCTTCACGTTTGCGTAGTAAACACAGCCCTGTCAACCCTGAGAACTTCTCCTCACTGATACCTGGGGGATAGTGCCAAAATTGACAGGCCTGTCGTATGACAGAGTCATACTCACAGAACCGTACCTTACAATGTCCCAGACACGACCATCACCATCTCTATTTAATAAAATATGAAATGACAGTTGTGAGAGATGATCTAGGCTTGGATAATGTACAGTCCATTTGGGTAGAGATGAAAAAAACAACAAAGAAAGTAAGACATTTGTAGGAGTAGTACGCAGACCCCCAAACAGCGGCCACTCTGTTGGGAAGGGGTATAAATCAACAAATAATAGGAGCATGTAAAAAGAATAGAAGAGTAACTGGTTGACTTTAATCTTCGTACTGGTTGGGTTAATCAAATTGATAAGAGTAGCTACAACAACAAATTCATAGAATGCATTAAAGAATTTCCTAGAACACTGTCATGAAACCAACCAGGGAGCAAGGTATTTTGGATCTGGTAATGGATAATGAGGCAGGTTTAATAAATTACCTCCAAGTATCCCCGTAGGAAGTAGTGATCATAACACGATAGAATTTAATATTCAGTTCGAGAGTGAAATTGAAACAGCTATGTTTAATTTAAATAAAGGAAACTATAATGAAACAGGGACAGGGTTAGCTAAAATGAATGGGCAGATAGATTAGCAGGAATGACAGTAAGCAGGCAGAGGCTTCCTTACTCACGGAAGCAATTCATGACTCTCAAAAAAAATACACATCCCACTAAGGAGGAAAGAATCTAAGAGAGGGATGAACCAACCATGGCTAACCAAGGAAGTTAAGGAAAGTATTAAATTGAAAGAAAAAGCATACAAGGAAGCAAAAGTCAGTGACAGCCCCGAAGAGGGGGATAAATTCAGAATCCAGCAAAGGAGGACTAAGAAGATAATAAAGAGAGGCAAAATAAACTAAGGGAAAATTAGTCAGGTACATAAAAACTGACAATAAAAGCTTCTTTAAATACATAAAAAGGAAGAGTGAGATCAAAGTGAAAATGGGCTCCTCAGAAAATGAATCTAAGGAGATGGTATTGGGGAGAAAGGAAAATGGCAGAGGAGTCTTTATGGTGGAAGATACTTCAAACATTCTACTGAAACTACAGAATAAGGGGGAGGAATTAAGTACTGTCTCTAAAGAAGTAGTACTAGACAAACTGATGGGTCTGAAGGCTGGTAAGTCCCCTGGCCTTGATGGCTTCCTTCTGAGGATCATAAAAGATGTAGCTACAGGAACTGTGGTCGCATTAGTTATAATTATCCAAAAAAAATCCTTGGACTCTGGAGAGGTACCAGAGGATTGGAAAACTGCTGATGTGACACCTCTATTCAAAAATGGAGGGAGGCACAAAGCGGGTAACCGAGGACTGAATGCCTAAAATCTATTGTTAGAAAAGTATTGAAATCAATTGCTAAGGAAATAATAGCAGAACATTTGGAAAATCATAATCAAGCAGAGACAGCATGGGTTCATGAAAGGGAAATCATGTCTGATTTATTTATCAGAGATTTTTGAGGAAGTCTCAACCAGGCTAGATAGAGGGGAACCAGCAAATGTGCTATATTTAGACTTCCTGAAGGCATTTGATAAGATACCTCACAAAAGGTTAAGTCATAAGATAAGAGCCCACGATATTGCAGGTGCTGTACTGGCATGGATAGAGAATTGGTTCATGGGCAGGAAACTGCAAGTGGGGATAAGGGGGTCAGAGTGTAAGAGTAGGGGACTTTTACTGCAACTGTACAAGGTGCTGGTGAAACTACATCTGCAGGTACTGTGAGCAGTTTTGCTTTCCTCATATAAGGATAGATATCATTTCATTGGAGGCAGTTCAGGGAAGGCGCACTCGGACGACCATGTATGGAAGGATTAAAACAGATTGGAACCTAGTCACTCGAGTTTAGAAGAATGACAGGTGATCTCATTGAAGCATATAGGATTGTTGAGGGGTTTCACAGGGTAAATACTGAGAGGATGTTTTCCCTCATGAGTATAGGACCAGAAGGCATAGTTTCAGAATAAAGGTATACCAATTTAAGACTGAGATGAAGAGCAATTTCTTCTCTTAGAGGGTCATCTTTAGAATTCCTTGCCACAGAAGCTGTGGGGGCAGTCCTTGTGTATACTTAAGTCTGAGACAGTTAGATTCTTGATCAGTAGGGGAATCAAGGGCTATGGGGAAAAGGGCAAGAACGTAGATGTGAGGAACGTTGGATCAGCCATGATCCTACTGAGTGGGGAACAGGCTTGAGGAACCAGATGGCCTCCTCTGTTTCTACTTCTCACAACAAGACAACAACAATGTTGTTCAGGAGGAAACTCCACGGTTTTCATCCAACAACACTGAAGGAAAGGCAATACATTTCCAAGTCAGAATGGTGAGTGACTTGGAGGGAACTGGTGGTGCTCCCATATATCTACTATCTTTATCCTTCAAAGTGAACATATTTGTGGGTTTGGAATCAATACTCATCCATGTATAACCCCAGCTGAAGGACGCACTGAGGGTGGCATGGGAACACAATGTACTCTGTGTGAGAACTTCATTGTCCACCACCAGGAGCAGCTCAGCAGCATCACTACTGACCGAGCCTACCCTGTATCCTCAACCTGAGACCCCTGGTTTTGGACTCCCCCATCATTGAGAACATCCTTTCCACATCTACTCTGTCTAGTCATGTTAGAACTTTCCAGGTTTCTATGAGATTCCTCCTTATTCTCTGAACTCCAGTAAAAATAATCCTAACAAATGCAATCTCTCTTCATAAGTCAGCCTTACCACACTGCTCTAGTAAATATCTGTTGCACTCTCTCCACTGCCAGAACATCCTTCCTCAAATAAGGAAACCAAAGCTGCAGACAATACTCCAGGCGTGGTCTCACCAAGGCCCTATATAATAGTGGCAAGACATCCCTGCTCCATTACTGGAATCCTCTCACTATGAAGGTCAAACTACCATTTGCACTCTTCAGTGCCGGCTGCACCTCTGCACCTACCCTTAGCGAGTGGTGTATGAGGACACCTAGGTCTCACAGCACCTCTCACTTTTCCAATCTTTTGCCATTCAGGTCATAAGTTGCATTCCTGTTTTTGCTATCAAAGTGGATAACCTCACCATTATCCACATCATACTTCAGATGTCATGCATTTGTCTACTCAATCAACATGTCAAAATCACACTAAGCTTCTCTGCATCCTCCTAACAGTTCACTTCCACATCACATTCAAGTAAAGAGCCATTAATTTTGCCTTTTTACCATACTTTTGCCCCTCTGACCCTATTTACTGCTGTTTTTCCGTTTGCATAGTCTGTCCTTTGCTATTCCACTCTGGGTTTTGTTATCCAAACAACTGCACGGTAATGCTGACAAATGGTTTAAAGCCCTCTCCACAGCCCTAGTTATTCAATTTGCCAGGACACTGGTCTTAGCATGGTTCAAGTGAAGCTTATTCCACCAGAACAGCTACCATCTATCCAAGTACTGGTGCCAGTGGCCCATGATTTGAAACCCATTTCACCCACACCAATCTTAGAGCCACGCATTTATTTCCTTGACTTTATTTAGCCTATGCCAGTTTGCCTGTGACTCAGATAGTAATCCAGACACAAAAATAAAACAAAGAACTGCGGATGCTGGGGGTGGCATGGTGGATCAGTGGTTAGCACTGCTGCCTCACAGCGCCAGGGACCCAGGTTCAATTCCACCCTTGGGCGACTGTCTGTGTGGAGTTTGCACATTCTCCCCGTGTCTGCATGGGTTTCCTCTGGGTGCTCCGGTTTCCTTTCACAATCCAAAGATGTGCAGGTTAGATGGATTGGCCATGCTAAATTGCCCATAGTGATCAGGGATGTGTAGATTAGGGGGATGGGTCTGGTGGGATGCTCTGAGGGTCGATGTGGACTTGTTGGGCTGAAGGGCCTGTTTCCACACTGTAGGGATTCTATGAAATCAATTCTATAAAATCTGAAAGAAGATCAGAAATTGCAGGAGAAACTCAGCAGGTTTGGCAGCGTCTGTGGGAAGAAAGCAGAGTTAACGTTTTGAGTCCAGTGACTTCATAATAACTGTTAACAGCTGGGAAAAAGTAGCATTTATTCTGACGATGAAGTTAGGGGGTTGGTGGTGTGTGGGAAGGGGAGAGGTGAGTGGATAGGTGGCGAGAGAGAGAGAGAGAGATACGAACGGGATTGATAAACAAGGACATTATGCTTAGCAGGCCAGGACAGAAGAAAAGCTGAAGAAGTGATAAAAAGAACTAAGAGTAGGAGAAAATGGGTGAGCTGTACCAAATACAACCATAACTAGAGATGACGACTTTGGAGATTCTGCTTTTCAATTTGGCTCTAAACTGTTCAAAATCTTTCAGCAATCTATTTTCTAATCATAACAATATCATTGGTACCAATGTGGACAATGGATGAGGTTCTGCTGAAAGATTTTAGACAGACAGTAAGGGAATCAATCTTTAAAGGGAAAAGGCGGGAAAGTAGAGCTGAAGATTACCAGATCAGCTGAGATCTTGTTGAATACCAGAGCAAACTCAATGGGGCTGAATGAACTACCGCTCCTACATTTTATGGTCTTACGATAGGGAAATTACAATAGAG